TTCCATCTCAGCGTTCCGAGTAGCTGGAATTACAGGCGCGCGCTACCACGCCCAGCTGATTTTTTTATTTTTTTGTAGAGATGAGGTCTCGCTGCCCAGGCGGGTCTCGAACCCGCGGGCTCAGGCAATCCACTCACTTCAGCCTCCCAAAGGCGCGGGATTACAGGCTGAGCCACCGAGCCCAGCTCTTTTATTTTTTTTTTTTGAGTTGGAGTCTCACTCTGTCGCCCAGACTGGAGTGCAGTGGCCACTCCCGGCCACCGCAACCTCGACCTGCGGGGCTGCGGAGATCCTTTCGCCTCAGCCTTCCAAGTAGCTGGAATTACAGGCATGCGCTGCCACGCCCGGCTGATTTTTTGATTTATTGTAGAGATGAGGTCTCGCCAAGTTGCCCAGGCGGGTCTCGAACCCACGGGTTTAGGCAGTCCACTCACCTCAGCCTCCCAAGGCGCGGGATTACAGTCTGAGCCACGGAGCCCGGCGCTGAGACGTTGTTAAAGCTTCCACAACAGCACCGGGGACCCAGAGTGTGTAAGGATGTTGTGGAAAATCCAAATGGAATGAGGAGGAGAGTCACATATTCGAGGTGCTACTCAGGAGATAATGATGAAGGGGGACGGTCGCAGTATTTTGCGCAAGTGGGGGACATTTACAACACTGGGCATAAGGAGTATTCCAGCTTCTGAGTTGGAAATGAGTCCCTCTGCTGGGCATCCCGGGACAAGGACGTCTTACATTTCTAACCCGAGAGTGTGAGGTTATTCTTGGAGGCTGCCACAGTGACTGGCTATCGTGGATGCTCAATAATCGTTCAGTGAAGAATAGGATCGAGGTCGGTGTAATTAGAACCTGGGGGGTTTCCATAGCGCCCCTGGATTTTCATGTCACTATGGAAACGCCCCCACCCTGCGCACCCGTGGGGAACTACAAGTCCCACAACCGCCTGCGGCTTCCCGGTCCCGGGGCCGAGAGGGGAGCGGACGGGCACGGAACGGGCTTTTCCTCTTTCCTGCAGCGTGATTGGTCCCTGGCTCAGGGAAGTGGCCAATGACTGCGCTTGGAGAGAGCGGCGAGGCCAACATGGCTTCCTGCACCTGGTGACGGTCGGAGAAACCGAGTTAGGTCTCATGGAGAAGCCCCGGGGTATTGAGGTGAGAGGGAGAGGATTTAGCGCGACTGGGAAGGGGATTCCTCAGGAGCTTTCTTACTTTAGCCTTTTAGCGATGTCTTGGGGGCTGGAGATTGGAGGGATGGATAAACTGAGGTAGTTAAAACTGAGCCGGGGCCAGAGGCGCTTCACGTCCACTTTTGCTGCCCTACCGCTGGGGCCTACGTCGGCGAGGAGATCAGGGAACTGCCGCCCCTGGCCTGTTGGAAGTGGATATGAATTCAAGATTTTTCTTTTCCTTTTTTTTTTTGAGTCGGGTCTCACTCTTGCCCATGCTGGCGTGCAGTGGCAAGATCACGGCTCACCGCAGTCTCCACCTCCTGGGGCTCAGGCAGACCAGAATTCTGCCTCAGCCTTCTGAGTAGGTTGGGACTACAGGCGCGCGCCACCACTCCTGGCTAATTTTTAAATTTTTTTGTAGAGACGAGATTTCACTATTTTGCTTAGACTGGTCTCGAACTCCTGGGTTTAAGCAGACCTCCCGCCTCGGCCTCCCAAACTGCTGGGATTACGGGCGTGAACCACCACACCCTGCCTGGGTTCGGGATTTGAGAGCCCCTGAATCTTTGTCCTCCTTGTCTCATGGTCGTATTCTTTTTTTTTTTTTTTGAGTTGGAATCTCACTCTGTTACCCAGACTAGAGTGCAGTGGCCGCTCACGGCCACTGGAGCCTCGACCTGCTGGGCTCCGGCGATCCTTCCACCTCAGCTTTCCAAGTAGCTGGAACTACAGTCGCGCGCTACCACGCCTGGCTAATTTTTATTTATTTATTTATTTATATATTTTATTTTTTTGAATTGGAGTCTCACTCTGTCGCCCAGACTGGAGTGCAGTGGCCGCTCCCGGCCACCGCAGCCTCGACCTGCTGGGCTCTGGTGATCCTTCCGCCTCAGCCTCTGAGTAGCTGGAATTACAGGCATGCGCTACCACACCCGGCTGATTTTTTGATTTATTGTAGAGATGAGGTCTCGCTGCCCAGGCGGGTCTCGAACCCGCGGGCTCAGGCAATACGCTCACCTCTGCCTACCAAAGGTGCGGGATTACAGGCTGAGCCACCGAGCCCGGCTTTATTTTTATTTTTATTTATTTATTTTTTTTTGAGTTGGAATCTCACTCTGTCGCCCAGACTGGAGTGCAGCGACCGCTCCCGGCCACCGCAGCCTCGACCTGCTGGGCTCCGGTGATCCTTCCACCTCATCCTTTCAA